TTTTTTTCGTGTCACATTTCCTGCATGCAGCATGTAGTCCAATCTTGAACAGAATAAGCCTCACTTGATGTAAAATGGCAACACTGCATGCAGCTTATAAAGAATACTAGCACTGATTTCAGATGTCTGTATTGCAAAGTAGCAGAACAGTTGAAATCAGTGATTTATTACAGTTTTTGTAGAATTAAAAGAAGTTAGTTCCCTTTCCCTTTTTTCTTCATGTAGTCCCCAAAGTGCTGTCTTTGTGGGTGTAGGTGGTAAAAAGCTCTTTGTTTCATATGGTATGTTATGTGAAAAACTGTTGAGCAAGCGTTATTTTGAAGAGAAAATGTCTCCCTGAAACAGGACGAGATGAAAGAGAAGGCCAAGTTAGAGGAAGAGAAGAAGGACGAGGAAAAGGAAGACCCCAAAGGCATCCCCGAGTTCTGGTTAACGGTTTTCAAAAACGTGGACCTGCTCAGTGACATGCTGCAGGTAGGTTCATCCAGACGGCCGCTGGAGAGGCAGTGAAAATGGGTCACAGACAGTATTTGCTTTCAGCAATGAAGAATCGGTGTTTGCTTCCACCTGCTGGCCAACTTGTGTAGAGCATGGCCCTGCAGTGGGATTATGACATAACCTGGTATATTCCTAGCAATAAATGAAAATACAAATGCATGCTGGATGATCGTCTCAATGCTGTGGCGCTGTCCCCTTCTCTTCAGGAACACGATGAACCCATCCTTAAACATTTACAAGATATTAAAGTAAAATTCTCAGATCCAGGACAGCCCATGGTGAGTGAACATTGCTGTCATTTTAATCAGCAGGAACCAGTCTGTTGAACTGCCTGTAACTGTGATCTCATGTGGTCGTCCCCAGAGCTTCACGTTAGAGTTCCACTTTGAGGCCAACGACTTCTTCACAAACACAGTGTTGACGAAAACCTACAAGATGAGGTCAGAGCCCGACGAGAATGACCCCTTCTCCTTCGATGGACCAGAGATCATGTGCTGCACAGGGTGAGTACAGCGCCCAGTTTTGTTTTGTCTTCATGTTGTTGTTGTCATAAATACATTCCGGTGGTGTTTTTTTTTTTTTTTTT